CATTCAAGAATAACTTCAGAACCGGATACCACAGCAACATCTAACAGTGGTTCTTTAAAATGTGGCTTTATACTGACTGTTTCGCTTGCTGAAATATCCGGTAATAAGCATTAAGCTTAGTTTGCTCCATGAAATTTTAACTACATTGATACTGCGGCCAAAAAATCCAGGAACTTCGACAGAAAACTTGATTTACGAAACAGAAAAGTAGCCATTCCAGACTTAGGGAAATGGTTACTGCCTTTTAATTGATATCGCACCTAACCCAGACCAGTTTCCATTTTAGGTTTTTTTTTACTGGCTACAGTGATCGTTCTAGCATCACAGATATGCCCCTAACCGCTATCCATCTTTTCACAGCTGAACTAGGCATTGGCCGTTCAAAAACTGACCCAAATTCGTATTAAAAATAATAACAATTTACGGACATTTACGGATATGATATTGTTAAAGATTGCAACTTACATTCTACTATTAACTTGCATTCGGTTTTTGCAGTACCATTGATATTTTCGGCGACACATTTGTAAATTCCAGCATCTCGTTGCTTCAGGGCACTAATCGTTACAGTGCATACACCGTTCTCATACTGCAACAGACGGAAACTGCTTCAGGCTACAGAACAAAATCGATCGAAAAAAGTCGAATCGTAAGCTTTCACTGAATTTTTTTTTTTCAGGATGTCCATCAGTGGATTTTCGTCTAGCTAAACGCTAAGTGAAATGCATACCTTAATCGTGTAATCCTTATCACTGAGCACCTTATCATCCTTAAACCACTGAATTGTTGGATTTGGTATGCCTGAAAAAGTGCCCAGATTTTTTCGAATCTAGATCATCTCCGTCACTGGCAAATTTGCTTATAACCAAAAACACGCAGGAAAAAGGCCTACCAGTAACAGCGCAGACCATCACTATTTCGGAGCCTTCCGGTAAATCGCGATCTACCAGAGGCATTCGGAAAACAGGCGCCTTTGCTTCGCGCACTTCACGCTTTTCAAGTGCCGCCTCTATAAAAAACTTGGCGAATTGAATGCAGTAATTTGCAGGTTGTGATTCAAAATTATCCGTATTAGCAGAAACAGGCAGGCAGCCAGAATTAACATACTGCAACGCATCGCTGTGCACATCCGTATGCAAACAATATTTTATAGGTACATCTAATATCATTTAAAATGACCTACAGCAGTGTCTATAACGCGGGACGAACTCACCAATCACACAGTTCGACCCCTTTATATGTTTTTGAAACATGGTGGAGGACAGGACACATCGTAACATGGAAGGATGGAAAAACGATTCGAAACACTGGACACGTGGGAGTATCTCAGTAGCATAATCCGATCCTGCCTGTCCCTTTGGTCCCAGTGTTCTTGGTTTCAGTTCAGCTAATAGTATCTGCTTCGCTTATTAGACTTCTATGCTTTCAAAATGAGATTTTACTGATATAAAGGCAGTAATCAGAATACCACGATCAATTTCCGCTTCTTTTCCTGCTTCCGCCTTTTCTTCCACTTCTTTTGCACGATAATCGATGAAAACCTGTAACTATTGCATTTTTCATCACTGCTTGGCTCATTATTAAGTAGTAGGTACCTAGAGTAAAACTATTTGTTGATTTCCATACCAGCAACAGTTCATCCGTTTCAGTTACACCAAACACCTTGCATGGAAAAAAATGTGCCGAGAAAGGAGAGAGAAATCTAAGAAAAAAAGTCAAAAAAAAAGAAAAATACGCAAATCAGATAAACGAGTTACCGAATGTTTTCAATGGCTCATTTTAAAATTGTATTGTTGGCTGCATGAAAACTTAATAAAAATGGTACAGTTTCAGATTCTTCTGATGGACCGCTGATAGCCGTCTCGGTAGCAGCTCGTACACGGAACCGATATGTATTTCCGGGTTCAAGCTCCTTCAGTTCAGTTTTTAAACCGGTGCTTTGGGTCGCTTCCATCCATTCCTCATCTCCTTCCTGCAAAATTATTAGTGCATAGTTTTGTCGCCAAAAATGCAAAAGCACAGAAGTGTCATGATTTTGGCAGTCGCTACCCAAAATGACGCTCTTATTTTCTAGCTATTTTGTCCAGTGTCTCCTACTGCGAAATTCAGTATCTTCAGCTTCAATTTTTGCTTTTCTCTCCAAACCTTTCTTTGCTAAAACATAGGTGAGGAAAGGAATCAAAAGGTTAGGAAAGGAATCACTAGCTAATGAGTAACGGGTTATGTAGTTTCAGTCACAGTAACTATAGAAAGACAGCGAGATGTATGGATGACGCAAAAGTGCATAACGATGAAAAACCCGAAGCGCTGAAATATTACTGTGAAGATCTTGACAGCTTACTTTCTATATAATATCCTCAAAATCCATTATAATCCTTGTACCTTATAGTGTGATCCTAATTCAAAAGACCGAAGTGCAAGAAGCCTTCAGGGTGGGGTAAAAAAAATAGTGAATTTTAACTGCCACCGAATAAATCACCACTGTCTGAACGCAACGAAAAGCGAAAGAGGCTTATAAACCTGGCATATCTTTCGCTTATGCAATTTCACCCTGAATCTGTAGATTATTCAGTTTTGTTCCTAGCAGTAATATTTCAGGACTTGAGTTCACGTCACAGCAGGTAAGGCCAACTTTGGCTACGGCACCACAAGCTATGCCAATGTGCAGTTCAATCATTTGCAGATCTAAACCAATTTTTTTTAAAAAAAAGTGACTATTTAGCTACCAAAGAATCTCTTTGTAATCGTAATTCTAAGAAGAATACCCGTAGAATGTACTTCTACATTACTCTCGTTGTTATACTTGAAAAGGTACAATGCAATCAGCGGGAAAAATTTTAAGTAAATTAGGGAAGGCGATTACCAACTGTGTTTCACACTCATAACAGCGCAAAACTTGACGGGCCATGTTAGCTTTCTTTTAAGTCGCCTGCTAATTATATTCCTGCCAAGAGGATCAAAAGTAAGGAGGAGACAACAAGATCAGTATAAACAAAGTCTGAAAATTCAAGCACACAGCTTAACAGCTAATAATGTTGTGCTGCCATCTAAGCGCTTGTTTTAATCATGGGAGAGACGTTCGAATAATTAAGCTTGGAGGTTTTATCGCGTAGCAGGTTATTCAAGATAGGTATGCAGCAATCAAATTAACCATGCTAGCAAAATTAATAAAGTAGTTTTTGAGTGAAATCTAATCTCCTTAGCGAAATGGCTTATTAAAAGCCGAGAACTACGTACATATCCACTACCTGCGTTACAACCAGCTTCTCTACGCCTCGACGAAAGTACAACGCATCGATTGTTATTAATTTCAACTCAGTTTTTCTTCTCATGCATTTGTCTAATAAATAAAATGTGTAGGATAGCCTATGGATGTGGGAAACGGTAAAGGAGACAGGCGAAGAAACTTTCCTCTGTCTTCATGTGAGGCAAGAAGCAAGTTTTTTAGGGCCAGATACAAAAATTTTAAACAAAATTGCGCGACAAAAAATATTTCGCCTAGTTTCATCATGAATAATTTTCTAAAGTGAACAGAGAGAACTGTTTGCCTTGTATGTTTTTTCATTTTCTAGAGAAAATGCCAAACATTCTATTATTGCAATCACTGGCGACGCGCAATGGGGGGCCCCGTGCGATCATGCGTTTTTGCAGTGTTTCCTGCTGTAATAAGATTACTCGAAGTTTCGCTAGCTAGAAACCTCTTGTACATACTGGTCCTCGAATTTCGGGAACTTAATTATCCA